GCTTTCGCTTTCGAGTGCCGCCAATGTTCCCGATTTTGTTGCATGTAAGTCGCGCCTCTTACCCAGACCCAACTTGTCTAGATAGCTCTGCGCATCGTCCAGCACTACGTGAGCGTTGGTGCCGCCAAAGCCAAAACTGTTGATACTCGCCCTCCGGACCCCCGAGGGCCCTGCCTCGAACGGTGTCGGAACCAGGGGCAGCTTGAGGCCCCATCTGTCGATTGGTATCCTGGGGTTGATCTTTTCAAAGTTGGTGTTGGGCGGTATCACCCCGTTTTCCAGCACCAAGACCGTCTTGATGACTTGGGCCATGCCGGACGCCGCCTCGACGTGGCCAATGTTCGCCTTGACAGCACCCACGTACAGCGACGGCCTCTCGGCCGCCCTCGGTCCGGGCCCGGCACGCCGGAAGACGGCGGCGATGGCGCTGGCCTCGATCGGGTCGCCGGCCGGTGTGCCTGTGAAGTGGCCCTCGAGGAAGCCGGTATGGTCTGGGTCGAGGTTGTTGCGGGCGTAAACGTCCCGTATGAGACACTCCTGGGCCGCTTTGTTGGGCAGCGTGATGCCGCCGGTGCCGCGGCCGTCCGAGTTGACACCCGTGCCGCGCAGCACGGCGCGGATCACGTTGCCATCGCGGATCGCCGCCGACACGGGCTTGAGGATCAGCGTGCCCACCCCCTCGCCGCGGCCGTAGCCGTTGGCACGCGCGTCGAGCGAATAGCACTTGCCATCGGGTGACACCATGCCGAGGCCGCTGGCGCGGAACATAAACTCGGGAGACTCGATTATGTTGACTCCGGTGATTATAGACTGTTTGCGGTTGGCACATCAGTTTGACGTGCTTGGGCGGATTGCATGGTTGACCGCCGCCGTGTTTGCTCCAATGGAAGGATCCTGGGGACGCTACATACCATATCGCTGAGCCCAGCGCGCAGGTCCTGGGCTCCTGTGTGCAACGCCACGATGCTGCCTGAGCAGGCCGTGTCCAGAGTGAAGCTGCTGCCTCTCAGGTCGTAGAACCAGCTCACCCGTGCCGCGAGAATGGCCGCGCTGGTGCCGATTGGTTTGTACTTGACAGACAAGTCTGGGTCTTCTTGCAGGATGGAACGCACGTCGTCGGTGAAGACAGCCGCGAACACGCTGGTCTTGCTTCCTTTCACGTCTTCGAGTCGGAGGCCGGCGCTCTCCATTGCCTCGTAAACATTTTCCACTAGAGGTTTTGGGTGGTAAGCCTTTTGATGATGATATTTACAGTTTTCTTCTTTCTTTTGTCTTTTCTTCTTCCAAGAGGTTTGTTTGCAGGCAAACTCCCCCGAACTCGCGCAGTTGGGCTTACACAAATCACCTACTGACTATCCGCTGCTGGAGATCCATTGTTTCTGTCTCTCTGCGGGTGATGTTGAAGAAAGCGGCGTCGAACTGCTTGCCGTTCTGCTCGCCGTCGCGTAGGAAATGCCCGCCCTTCACGGTGTTGCTCCCCGCGCGCTCCTGCGACGGATGGTAGTGTGCGTCCTGGTTCCATCTCGATGCCGGGACTTCGGACCAGGCCGACTTGCCGTCCATCAGCAGATCCCATAATTTCGAGGGACTCGTGGCGTCGCCGGGGAAGCGGCAGGCCATGCCGATGATGGCGATGTCCTCGTCGAGGCCGTGAATTGTTGACCCCATTGTGGCGTCTTGTTGATTTGAGAATATAGTTTATACAGGAGGGTGAAGCACCAAGGTAGCTGGGTACGGAAGGGTATAAATAACTTGTATCCAGTAGTCGAAACCTGGGACATCATACTTCTATGAAATTAGACGGAAATCGGTTGTTAGACGTGATTCCCTTCACATTAAATCGACCAACCATCCGGCATGTAGTGATCCCTTGTCTGTAATGGGCCGCGTTAGCCCAAATGCCCCTCATTCAAACAAACCCCCGCATTGGAACTACTTTGAATTTCCTCGTCTTCAAAGCAGTGTAGTCAAAACTCCACAGCTTCAACGGTCTATCGAAAGATAAACCGGTCTCGGGCCTTCTGCCACACATGACCTCAAAGGCCCGAGTTCCACTGACCAATAAGATCACTTACAACTAAACCCCCCTTCAAATGCAACGCATCCTGAATCGCCAAGCCCCACGGGCACTAGCGGATAACCGATAAAATGCGGTCCCCAAAGGCACCCTGGGCCGACTACTTCTCAGATGTGGGCAACACTCCGCACCATGTTATCACGGCACTGAGTGCTCCATACAGGTGGGGGGCTGTCACGGCTGAAGGAGGCGTATGAGCATTCAATACCGCGCATGTGGGCTGCTGTAGTACATCAGAAGAGGGGAGGGGGGTTGTTTATCAAACAAATATCTGTATCTGTTATATAGCGCCGTCATGCTCTGTCAAGGCCTTCATATCCCGTTCTTGCCCTTGCCGGTTATTTGAGTGTTCTGCTAGGCTTTCGACAACTCAAGTCGGACTCACGCAACAATGCTGTCCGCAGAATGGTTCATACCGCCGCAGGCATTGGTGCCGGCGGTGGTCCTGATCGTATACCTAGTCTACAACTACTTGATCTTCCCAACCCCTCGTTCAATCGCCAAATTGAGATTCCTTAACGTCGAGCCCGGTAAATGGGCGCCGTATTATCGGGCACTCTACCGCAACACCTTGGACTTGAAAAAGACGCTTCGCCTGCACCACACACAACACAAGAATGAGACGGTCCGCGTCCCCATCCTGGGCCCGGGCCAAAACAAGCTGATCCTGCTGCCCTCTGCCGAAAGAAAGTGGCTCGTGGATCAGCCCGACTCCATCGTGAGCATGCACGACCAGACCATCAACCACTTCCAATGGGATCTCGGCACCATTTATCCCACTCGGGATCACAACCAGGTGACCATCCACATCATAGCCACCAAGCTCACCCGGGAGATCGGCAACCTGATTCCAGCCCTCTCGGACGAGCTTGACCTCGCCCTGGCGAAGCACTGGGGCGACGAAGACGATGGCGAGTGGAAGGAGGTGGGTGTTTACGACACGCTGAGGCCCATCATAAGCCAGGCAATCAACCGCATCTTCATCGGGAAGAGACATTGCCGGAACGAAGAGGTGCTCGAAACCGGCTTCTCGTACGCAAAGGTCATTCCTCTCGAGGCGAACCTGCTATGGCTGCTTCCGACCCCGCTGCGTCGTCTCCTGGCGCCTCTGCTTACCTTGCCATCCCGCTGGTGCGAGAGGAAATGGTTTAGGCTCACAATCGGCGAGGTTCGCAGACGGTTGGAGGCCAGAGGCCATCCGCAACAACACGGCACGGGATCCGAGACCGACGGCTGGCAAGACGATGAAGAAGCAGACGAACCCGACCTGCTGAGCTGGTACATTGCGTACGGAGAATCCCAGGGCGACCCGTACCTCCTGGAACCGGAAGTCCTCTCGGCGCGTATCCTACTCCTCAACGCCTTCGCGCTGCACACCAACGTCTTCGCCATCGTGCACATGCTCCTCGACATTGTCGGTTCCGGCGCCGAACAGGGTCCGAAGATTGTGGCTCAGCTCCGTCAGGAAATCAACGAGGTCCGCGCCGCCGATGGCGGGCAGCAGCAAGGGTGGGACAAACGATCGCTGGCCCGGCTCGAGCGGATGGACAGCAGCTTCCGGGAAAGCCAGCGCGTCAACACCATCTTGAGCCTGGGCCCGCTGCGCATCGTGGGCAAGGACGGCGTCACGACCCCTTCCGGCGTCCAGATCCCGCGCGGCTACCAAGTCGGAATCCCGGCGTACTCGATCCACTTTGATACTGACATCTACGGGCCCGACGCGGAGGCATTCAACCCGTTTCGCTTCTACGATAAGCGAAAGGATGCGCGAGGGGCCGGTGATAACATCAAAGGAGCGAGGCAGGCATGGGCCACCACGTCAGCCGACTACTTGTCCTTTGGGGCCGGGCTCAACAGCTGTCCCGGACGTTTCTTTGCCTCTGGGATGTTAAAGGTGCTGATGGCCAACATCCTGCTCAAGTATGAGTTTGAGTTCCAAGAAAAGAGACCAGAGAATCTTTGGTTTGGAACAAACCATATACCGCCGCTCAAGGCAAAAATTAGAATCAGGAGGAGACAGTGAATTTGCAAGACCAGACTAGCAAAGTCTATTTTCCGCAATACTACATAGTACATCCTACGCGTACACGCCCGACCCACCCAGGACCTTAGACGCAGTTCCACGAGTCCATCTCCTTCCAGTTTCACCCACTGAAATTTAAATAACAGCGGTCTACGGAAACATTCAGGCATGGACGATGGATACCATTATCTTGACGTCTTCCAAGACGTACGAAGTACACATGGATTGCTACGCAGGGGTAGCCCTGCCAAGTCTCCCGGACTCCCCAGAGTCCAGATTAATCCATGCAGCTTGACTCCTCGTTTTCCTGCTTGGGAAACTCCAAATTCCCCCCCCACGGGCAACATCTCCCGACGGGATAAGCCATGAATCATGTCATCCTCCGCTCTGCTGTACTTGTCCTGTCACACGTGGTCTTGCGATGTGGGCTTTCTGACTCTCTAATCCACCGTATGGAGCGGCAAATGCGCTTGCGGTCAAACAGCCGCTTATTTCGCTGTTTTTCTTCATCCGGTTTTTCGGCAGTCTCGTATGTAACCTGTATCCTTGTAGTTTGCTACCACGAATGAGACCATGGTGGATCACAGGGTAAGGGCTGAATGCTGGGGGCATTCTGGCAATCGAACACCCCCTGCAGGTTCGAGTCAAGTCTGTTCCTCAGTACAACGCGAGAGAATACATGGGTACTGGGTAATAGGTATTATGTCTTATGGTCGCCATTCCCTGCCGTAATGTTTTATTTGCCATCGCGGCACGGGCAGACAAGCTGAACCAAGTGTAGTATTCTAAATTGTCGTGACTGAGTTCATGCTATAAGCTTAAAACTTTGGATTGCTTGGCAACTACCGTCCTCAAAAGCAACAAAGTCTTTTCCAAAATTGTTCTTGCTAGTATCTAAAGATGCCTATACGAATTTTGTGTCTGCACGGCAGGGGTTCCAACACCGAGGTGGGCAATTTTCATTTGTTTGGCAGCACAGCAATTAACACTACCACTGAGTAACTAATGCTTCGTCGTCCTTGTAGATTTTCCGCATGCAGACGGCTGGCATACGAAGCTTGCTGGAGCCAGAATACGAGTTTGAATTTGTAGAGGGCCGGTGGCCCCATTTGGAGGGGAACTGGTCTCTGCACACAGTCGACTTTTCAAAGTCAAATGTAAGCATTCGGGGCTCAGTCTAATCGAGGCGCTGGGCCTGAAAGCCTTGCCAGGTTCTCTGCTTGCCAAAATGCCTACCTTAGTCTGGCCTCAGAAAAGAAGACATAGCTAACAACTACCGTGATAACTTACGCTTTAGCTGTATGGATTTTACAACATGCTGGACATCGATGACATTCTGGCCACTGAGAACGAGCTGCGTCAAGTGATAGAGGACCATGGTCCTTTCGATGGTTTGCTGGGATACTCGTAAGTCGGCGGAAACTCTCTATTCATCGAAAGAGATGGATCGGAATGATGACACCATCATAATTGATGCTCCCGCCCATGGGGAAAAGTCTAACTTGAACCAGCCAGGGTGGATCGATGGCTGCTCAAATCGCCATCCGACTCCTAATGGAGAACCCATACGCCACACCACAGGAGTTACCAATCAAGTTCCTGGTGCTCATCAACAGCGCCGTGCCGCCTTTCATCATGCCGTTGGATGAGCAAAAGGTCACGGACCTGCCGATTGAAGAGGCGCCAAAGCTGCGGATGCTGTTCGATGTCTTCAAAGCAGATCCCGCCGAACACCTGGACAAATTGCGGCCAGCGAAGCTCGCCAATGGTAGACAGGTAGGCATATAAAGACTGGTCGACTTTGATTGAAATGCACGGTGCCGGCTGACGATATGAAAATCGACCTCTCCAGGCTCTCGTAAATAAAACGCACTACATGACCTTTTTTGACAACACTTGGGATGGCCACCCACTCTACATGCCATCGCTGCACATCACCGGCCTGGGCGATGCCCCCGAGTACGGCCAGCAGCTGTTTGACATTGCCGAACCCAGTGAAGCGGAGCAAATTAAGCATGTGTTTGGGCACGACTTTCCAAGAGGGCTGGATATGAACAAGACGATTGCTAGGGCGATAAGGGCGATGGCAGAGAAAGCTCTATAAGGGGATTGAAATGAGAACTTTCGCAGCATCATTCCATACATGTTACTAGAGTATATCCAGTATAAATCCAATGCCACTCCACCTATACGCCTAAGCAATAACTTCTTCCCATACCTAATCGTGAACTGTATTTATTCACTCGCAGAGTCATCTGCAGCCAGGAGCCCAAACTCGGCAACCGTTGCCCCGGCACCATCGTTAGTCCAGCAGCCTGTAACCTCGAGTTTCGCAAATGCGCCACTCCAAACGGGCTCGGTGAGCGGGATGGTGGTAATGTTTCCTACATATCTCACCACCGGCGAGTCCGGGACCCACGGCTTCGTGATGCTGATATCTTGATCCGCTAGTACCTTCTCGGACTCGAAATCCGAGCTATTCGAAACCGAAACCTTGACGTGCTTTGGCGGCCGCATGGCAAAATCCAGTCGGATAGCCTCCAGAAGTCGCGGCGCCTGGGAAGCTCCCAGGTCCACTACAACAGCGGCCGTGTCGTCACATGTACCGGGCTGCCAAAAGGTGCCTCCGTATCCGTCAGTGGCTGCAAACGCTAGCTCGCCATGCGACGAGGTTGCGCCGTGACATTGCAAGATGTTGCCCGGGACAGAAATCGCGGCATCATACAGCCTATTCTGTACTACAACCGTGTCATTGACGCGTAATAATACCGTCCGCGCGTTGGGATCGTCCACGTCTCGGCCGACGGTGATGGGCATGGCCTCCTTCCCGTACTGGTCCGGCACCAAACCGTCGAAATGAGACGCGTCGCGCCGCGTAATAACAGTATGCGTGCGGTTCATGCGGAAGCTGACGACGGCGCCATTATAATACTGGATGGGTGGCTTGAAGTTCTGGAGCTGCGGAGGGAGGGACGGACTTATCACCAAATTTCGCTGCGTAACGCGTAAGCCGAGAAAGCCCGCCGTGAATGTCTGCAGGAGGCCGCCGTGGCCGGTCAGGAACGGAAAAGCCGGGTTAATGGCGTTCCCGGTCAGAGGATCCAGGACTCCGGGCTCGTCGTCTTGCTGTTCGGAATACTGGTACCAAGGGCCGCGGATATAAGGCTGGAACGATTTGACTAGATATGTCCAGAACGCGCATCCCGAAGTGGCCAGGGAGTTGGCCGTGATGGCATACATGCTCCATGTCATGGCCGGGCCGTGCGGATCCGTGCGGACTGCGTAAAAGTCCATCGCAGCTCGGTATTTGGCGAGCGAGAAATTCCGCCTGTAGTCGTAGGGATAATGGGACAAGATAACGTCTGCCTGCTTGGGGAAGACATCGTTGGTCATGCCCCGAAATTCAAGCACAACGTCGTCATCCGAAGTGGGTATTGACATGTGCTCGAGCTGGTCAAGCCAGTCGGTCTCGGGCGGGATGCCTCGTTCATGACGAGCCTCGGAGGCGAGTTGTAGGAGAGTGCTGACCGCAGTACTAGTAAATGAACCGTCTGCAATCCACATGTAATATTCGTCGGCATCGGCCATCACGTCGATGCCCCAGACACCTTTGTCCTCTCGTCGTGTTAGTATATCGCTGAGGCCCACGGCTACGCCATCGATGACGTCCACAGCCCCGTGCTTTTCAAACCAATTCCTATCGCCGCTTGTGTTCCGGCCCATGGCCATGCTCAAGGCGATATCAGCATTGAGGTGGTACTGGTACATGATGCAGGGTGCAGACATATTATAGCATTGCCCATATCGACCGCTTGTCCATGCATAGAGCATGCTACCATCTTTTAGATTATGCCTCTTTGTGTTTTTGCGAGACTGATCTGCCCGATTAATGCGATACAGCGCAAACTGTCTCGCCAACTTGGGGTGCACTCCTTGGATGGCGGGCGCCACGAAAAGATCAGCGTCCCAGAAAATCTTGCCTCCGTATGTTTGGGAAACCAGGCCGCCGACGGAAAGAGAGTTGCACGCAATGCAAGTGCTTGGGCTCTCGTCACGTGTCGGGCTCCATGGGATGAGGCTCGTGTAAAGATAGTAAGCAGAGGAGATGGCTGTGATCTGCAAGGCTTTTACCACGTCGCTGCCGCTGTCTAATGGGAGCGATCCTGTCGTTGGATCTCTAAAGTCAGCCACAAAGTCCGCACTCATGAGCTTGCCCACTTCGGCGCTATGCTCCTCGCGTAAGACATGATATCCGCGCTTTATGGCAGATGACAACACATCCGAGACCACTGTCTCTGTGTCCGACCCATAGTGCTCTGTTGAGGCAATAGCTGCGTATTTGTAAATCGTTGCGGACTGTAAACCGGATTGTACCCGATACCGCTGCGTTGGGGAAACGTTTTCGGAGTCTGCGTAGGATGAGTTGGCTGAACCCAATGTTGCTGTGTTATCGAAGGCGGAAAAAAAGTCGCTGGAGTATTCGTCCTTGCTCTCAAGGCACAACAACTCGTTTCCGAGCGTCGACGACAGTACATACGCCACGACATGGTCGACTGTGTTTGGTGAAACAGCAGAAAAGACCTGACTGCTGGCTTGATCCACACCTGTCTTGACCGTTCTCGTGCGCAAAGCTGACTTGTGGTCTAGTGAATCGAGAATGTACACGCCGTCGAGGCCCTGCTCGCTGGATATGACCAGTTTCACAGCTGCCAGACGTCTTTCTGCTAGCGAGGCCAAAGATTCGTAGGATACGAGAAACTTCCGGTCGTCTGCGCAGGTTGGAGGGCTCCAGACATACGACCATGTGAGTATTCCCGTCTTACTGGTAGTAGGGTATATCAGATTAGTGCCCATACTATTCTGCCTCATGGAACAGCCAGTGCGCACACGCTTACTTACAAAGACAGCGTCGACTCAAACTCGGTGATCTCGGATACGTCTACATCTCCATTGAGGACACTTCCACATGCTTCAACGAGCAGATCGGTAAAGTGAGGCACGCCGGAGATGAAACTCTCGCCCAGCTCCCCCGGCTCAAGTGTACTAGGCTTGCTGCCCCAAAAGCCCGTGACAGTGGCGAAAGTTGTTCGAGGGTTGCTGTAAGACGGCCATCCTTCTGAATCATTTCGACGGCTACGCTCATAGAATGGCCCCAGAGAACCTTGGGCGAGGCCAAAATAGCTATTCAAGACATAGCATGTACGTATCAGCTCCCGTACACAGCACAACAGGAGCGAACTGCGCCGTCGGCGACCATGATGTTGAAAGATTGTAGTTTACATACCCGTTTGACTGTGGCAACCATGCAGTGAATACCCCTGGCAGTGGCTTGGTAGATTTCAGAGTCCATGCAGCATCATCCCAAGACACCCAATCCGCGTTGATGTCAAAGCTTGCACTCGAGGTTGGTGCTCCTCTAGCTACGCGCAAGGTGTACACACATACTAAGAGTAAAGCTGGGAGGTTCATGGCGGGCATTCGAGGTCTAAAGAGCCCAGCGTTGCATGTCAAAGGTTGTGGATCCTGCCTATCTCTGGTGAGTCGACCAGGTGAAAGTAGCGCCGATGTGATGCATGAGAATCGGACGTCGATGGAGCTGGCGGTTGGGAGAATATAATAAGCGCGTTACTATCGTAGTGCCTGTCCATTCTATAATCCACCTCAACCCACTTCTCCTGTCACATCGGCCCATGGGGCATACGCTTCCCTCTCACCCCCTACGCCACGCGCGGGTTGCGAACGCCCCGATTCTCAGGCAAAAGTTCCGCACTAGCGAAGACAGATTTAAAGTTCGGGGGTGATTTGGGGCATGTGGGGAGTAGATGTTGGAGTGGGTTCCCAGACCGACATTCTGAGTGACGTACTATGTACACGTACATATTATTTGCTTATAGAGGTTGAGGTCTAAAGTATTTATACACTCCTAGTTACCACAGTGCAGTCGCCTTATTATCTAATCTGTAGTGGGCCTTAGCTAGTACCTAGCTAGAAAAAACAGTTATTAAAGCTTATCTACTAGCTTAAAGTGCTTAAATAAGCCTAATAAGCTATCTTATAAAGATATACTAGCTGTAAATAGAGTGATTACTTATAGTATTTAAGCGTTTCTAAGTAATATTCTAATATAGCTTTAAGGACCTTTATATATATATAAATACTTAGTAAATAGACTTTAGTATAAATAAGCTATAGAAATTAATATTTATTATAAAGCTACTTTTTTTAAAACTTTACTAAAGTAATAGTAACTATATGTTAAGACTAAGTTATTTATGAATAGACTTAATTAATTTAAAATAAAGCTATTAATAACTTTATTAAAGAAGTAACTAAGTATATAAGTTTATAAAATTAGATTTATAAATATTCTATTTTAATTAACTAGGTATAT